ATGCAGAGGAATTCCGTGATGTGTTAAAAACCTCATTGTGACAAAATGTCAGCTGAGTTAGCATGGTGTAGTGTGCAGGAAGCCATTCATGTCTAGGAGGACATTGGCAGGTTGCTATAGCAACTGAAACAAAGGATATTCTCAAAAGTCATCTTTTCCAAAGCCAGGAAGGAACACTGAAATTTTCATTCATGTGTGGTAAAACTCTAAATTAAAATGGGCATTATTCAGTTCGAGGTTTATAAGAACAAGTTTTCCTCTCTCTAAACACTAACAGTGACAAGTAAAAGTTCTACCAAACTTAAAGTACACTTAAATCTACAACAGTGTTTTAGTAAGTGTATTAAATCTACTTTAAGAACAACAGGAGGAGGAAAAAAACAATGTAAATCTAACCTAATGGTTTGTGTTCAGATTCCTCTGAAGTTTGGATATGAAAGAGTAATAAATTCTGCCTTTGTGATTCTATTTCATACAGTACTAGAGCCAACCATGAACTTCCCCAATGCCAATGCTAATAAATCTCTCTTCCAAGGACAGGGAAATTTTCTGATCATTGGCTGCATTTCAAGAAAGCACTAGGGAACAGACTTAAGTTAGTGATGGTTGTATACGATACTAAATATTTGTTTAATTCTTTCTGAATTGAATAGAATGCCCTTAAGGCAACTTATAAAATTTTCAACCTACAGAATGCTCTTGCCTGCTGAACCATGCCTCTGGATGGAAGGAACATTCCTTCAAGGTAGCCTCTTACCACCTCCTCTCCCAAGAGAAAAGCAGATTAGAAAAACAGCAGCCCTCAAAAGCAGTTGCCTGGCTTTGTTTCCGGGCTTTCCATCCCCTGCATTTACCATCATATCCTATTCCTGTATATGGTATGTGGATTTGGCTGAGTTAACACAATAAAATGAAATGGAATAACCAGGGACAAAAATCTTCTATTATTTTAATTTAGTCACAACTATGCTTTCACATATTTGTCAAGTTTACCACACATAATGCAATGGAATAAATATGTTAATAAAATCAGACTGGCAGCATTTAATGTAATCCTTCACAATGGTAAAAAGCTTGGTATAAATGAAAAAATTTATTTTGACAATTAAGTTATGAATTAACTGTATTTTTAAAGAAAACTTGTACATCACCTAGCATGTCTTGTCAGGAAATAAAAAAGAGTAATTTTTAAATGTATTTTAGTACTCATGTATCTCCCTTACACAAGATAAGTTTTTATCAAATAGGCGCGCGAGCATACACACGTATGTACACACAGGTTGGTACATTTTCTATACCACTTCTGCAAAACTATAAAATTATACCATTTAACTATACTAAAAAAAAATTACAGCCCAGCAGACTGTGTTTGCTATTAAAGTAAAATGTATATTTTGTTTTCAGTTCGTTTACATATTAATCCTGGCAAAAATGCTATAATTTTTAGAATTAAGAATTTTGGTTGACTGTGAATATATTTTTAAGTAAGAAAAAGCAGAAGAATATCAGAAAGTTAAAAGTTACATGCAGCAAGAAAATTAAAGAACCTTGGAATAAACTTAACCAAGGAGGTAAAAGACCTGTACTCAGAAAACTACAGAATGCTAAAAAAGAAATTAAGGAAAACACAAATAAATGGAAGCAAATACTATTTGGATTCACAGATTGGAAGCAAATACTATTTGGATTCACAGATTGGAAGAATTAACATCATTAAAATGTCCACACTATCCAAAGCAATCTATAGATTCAATGCAATCCCTATCAAAACACAAAGGTCATATTCCACAGATATGCACATACTTCAAAAATTTATATGGAACCATAAATGACCATGAATAGCCTCAGCAATTCTGAGAAAGGAGAACAAAGTAGGAGGGATCACAGTACCTGATGTCAAACTATATTACAAGGCGACTGTAATCAAAACAGCCTGGTACTGTCATAAGAACAGACACATGGATCAATGGAACAGAATCAAGAACCCCAAAATAAACAGAAGTCTCTGTGGTCAAATAACATTCAAGAAAGGGGGAAGGGGCATACAATGGAGTAAAAATAACCTTCTTAATAAATGGTGCTGGGAAATCTGGACAGGTACATGCAACAGAATGAAACTAGACCGCCAACTTTTACCATACACCAAAATTAACTCAATGGATAAAAGACTTAAATATAAGTCATGACACCATAAAAGTCCTAGAGGAGAACATAGGTAATAAAATGTCAGCTACCCCACACCAATATTCACCGATATATCTCCTAGGGCTAGGGATATAAAGGAAAGAATAAACAAATGGGACTCCAACAAATTAAAGAACTTCTGCACAGCTAAAGAAAACATCACCAAAATAAAAAGGAAACTGACTGTATGGGTGAACATATTTGCCAGTGCTATGTTGGACAAGGGTTTGATCTCCAAAATATATAAAGAACCTACATAACTCCACTCCAGAAAGACAAATAATCTAATTTAAAAAATGGGCAAAGGACCTATACAGACACTTCTCCAAGGAGGACATGCAGAGGGCTCATATGCGTATGAAAGGACGCTCAGCATACTAGACATCAGAGAGATGCAAATTAAAACCACAGTGAGATACCACCACCAGTCAGAATGCCATTATTAACAAATCAACAAACAGGTGTTGGAAAGGCTGTAGAGAAAAAGGAACCCTAATGCAGACTGGTTCAACTGCTGTGGAAAACAGTATGGAATTTCCTCAAAAAACTAAAGTTGGGACTGCCTTTTTACTCAGCAATTCCACTGCTGGTATACCTTAAGAATCCTGAAACACCAATTCAAAAAGACCTATGCAGCCCGATGTTCATAGCAGCACAATTTACAATAGCCTAGTGCTGGAAACAGCCTAAGTGCCCATCAGTAAATGAATGGATCAAAAAACTATGGTATATTTACATAATGGAATTCTATGCAGCAGAAAGAGGGAGCTCCTACTCTTTGTGACAGCATGGAGGACTGGAAAATATTATGCTGAGTGAAATAAGTCAGGTGGTGAAAGACAAATACCATATGATCTCACCTTTAACAGGAACCTAAACAACAAAACAAACAAGTAAGCAAAATGAAGAGCCAGAGACATGGAAATAAAGAACAAACCAAAGGGGCAGGGGGAAGGAGACAACAGGGGAAAGAAGGGAAAGGGTCAAGTCAAGGAACATGTATAAAGGACCCATAGACAAGACAATGGGAGGAAGGATTGAAAGTGGAAGGTGGGAGTGGGTGGGGCAGGGGATAATAATGGGAGGAAAACAGGGACCACTATAATTGAACAACAATAAAATAATTAATAATTAAAAATAGAAAACAAATAAAAATCCTATAGATTGTTATCTATTTTGAAAACCTCTGGAAAGAGTTTGAGAAAGAGAATTTCAAAAAATCAAAAGGACAAACTTCTCATAAATTCTGGATGTTGCTCCAGATACAAAGATCACATGCTCTTGTGGTCTGGATTATGTCTATCTAATAAAGGCAAGTTCTATTTCTAACTCTTATTATTTTCAAAACTTTAGTATAGCCAATCATATTTGTGAAACATGAAAGTATTAGATATCAGGTCCAAAATTAATGTTATTACTTTTTTATAAAATTATATATATATATATATATATATACAGTATTTTATAGTTCCCAGAGAGTTTCACTTACATTCTCCCATTTGATCCCCACAGGTCTGGTAGGAAGGGGTAATAACGATCATTCCTTCTTTATAGATGTGTAAACTGAGGCTCACAAGGGTTAAGGAATTATTTCAAAGCCACAGGGCTGAGTAACCAAACCAGGACTCTTCTGGTCATCAGTATTTTATATACAAGTATTTCATATTTCATTTAAATCCAGTTCTAAAGATAAATTTTAGGGACTATTGAAATTAAACTCTTTATCACTATTACAGAGAGAATTTTGATTAAAATACTTTTGTTTACTTGTTTTTAATTCTTGATTAAGTCTTGAAGCTTTAACCAAAACTGCCTACTGTAGGCCTTGTCCCTGCTAATTAAAACATCTATGACCCTCCAAACTCCTGGATCCATCAAATTTGATGGTTATTTTGCCAAATATCATTGTGATTTCACATGACAAAGGATACTTCAGATTTGTTTTATTCCTATCGCCATTTTTAAATAAGTCATTTAAAAAGCAGTGATAACAAGAAGGAAAGCTATGCCTGATTTTCCATACAGGCCCCAACTATGGTGCTGACTCATCATGGTAACCATCCAATGATATTTCCTTCTAACATTGTATTCCACACTCACTGTGATTCAGTTAAACCTATACTTTTCTCTCTCCTACATGACTTACTTTGTAGTTGTGGTGAGTTAATGCTAAGGGGCTGTTAAATTTCAAGAGATCCTAAAAGATATGCTAAAGCCTGATGACAGTTTACTCTTAGGGAACCAAGGAAAGAGCTCCGGTCTTGTTGATGGTTCTTACTAAGTTCAATATTAACTTTGAACAAGCAACTGAATTTTAGAGGACATTTAGAAAACAATGAGAAACTCAGATTTTCAAATTCCTCAAATTATCACAAATGCTTTCCTGCATGGTGACTGAAAAGAGGCTGAGAGGCAGAAAAGGGTTCCTATCCACTTCTGGGTGAGAAGCAGCTGCGTGACCTTGGACCACCCAAACCCTCTCCACCCACAGATGTTTCCCAAGTCGCCTTCCTGCTCTGAGTGCCACACACGTATTCTGCATTTAACCGACCCATGGCATGACAGACACATTTCTAAGGCCTTATTAGGCTCAGCTCCCCAGTACACTTCTTCCTGACCAAGCTCAATTTTTTGGTTGTTTATATTCTACATCTCTGAATAAGAGGCAATTTTATGATTACTTATTATTCAATACAAATTTCTCTTAAGGAAAAGAACTGCACATTTCTAGATTTCATTCATTAAAAACATTTTAAGTTTCCTAAATGCAACCGCAGACAAGCTAAGGGATTTTTATAAAGTATGACAGTAATTACCTTCAAGTGTCATTCCTTCTCCCAAAAGGGCATCTCCAGCCCCAGATGCATACAAGGCCGTCACAGACAAGGTGTATCGTGTCCCTTCATTCAGTCGTCTCAGCACGGCATTGGTTGTGTCTCCCTTCACAGTGACCTCTTGAGTTTCACCTCCTGCCACTGGGGTGTACGTGACGAGATACTGTTTCACTTTTCCTGGTGCCGCACTCCAAGATAATTTCATAGTTGATGTGGTAGGGTCAGAAACTCTTAAGTCTCTTGGGTTCCCTCTAACTTCATTAAAAAAAATCAAAAGTCATTATTAATAAAATGACTTGAAAAACCTTTTGTTACTTTACATGCATGTGTATGTGAAATTAAATTTATGTCCTGGGTGAGAATTTGGAAATTTTGACTGTTGACTAGCTGACAGAGTTCAAGTACTTCCAAACTAGGCTCTACATGGTAGAGGCAACAAAGCAAAAGACATCGAATTCCCCTTCTGTGTTTACACAGTGAAAATCTTTCATGTGTGGACTCCATCATGCAAAAAACTACAAGGTTATCTCTAAAAGTGGAACAAAGCACTATGAAATATATATATACATATATATATTTTTTAATATCACAATGTTTTCAACTCCTCTAATAAATCTTCAATAAAAAAGGGTTCATTGGCATAATACTCTAAATATCTAAATGTAATGGACAGGAAAATACACTAATGTGATAAAAATGATAAATGATAAAAATAATGCTGTTCCCAAAATAATACATAAGAGAGGAAACAGCCCAAATGAGGTCTGGCCTTGGGGGAAACTCAGGGGCTGCCCATCCCTTTGCTGCTGTGTTCAGCATTGCATGGCTTGACTGGCAGAGTGGCTGCAATGCCTCTGAAGGGTGTCAAGGCACCCAACTCTGTGACACTCTCCACAGGGCACACAACAGCCAGCCACTTTTACTCCAGAAATCAGAAAGATAAGAAGTCGCTGGGTCTTTTTATGAGACCAGCACAAAGAGCCCTAGATCCCCAGAGAAAGAGGAAAAAGGAAGAAAGCAGGTGGAAAGACAGAGGTTTGCGCAGGAAAGGCTCATTAGCTCTATTGCAGCTTGGACGGCTATTCCCTGTGAATGTCTGCACAAGGACGCCAGTCCCCAAACTTAGATACACTGCTATTAGCAATCTGAGTCTGAGTTATTATATAGTTGTCTTAGCCTTGATTTCCTTGTAAAACTGGAATAATAATAACAATAACTTCATAGACTCTATCAAGGGTTAAATGAGATAATATATGGAAATCTCTGACATAAATAGGTGCTCAATTACTGTTCATTATTACAAATATGTTGTTAATATTATTGTTATATTTTAAAACTTTAAAAATAGGGAGGAAAATTAAAATTATGAATGCCTTAATTTTTCGCAATGAATAACATTAATAACAATTGGCCACAAATATCAGCATCTATACCATTTAAGTTGGTATTTTGAAATCTTCCTGAAGAAGTAATACATAATCTGTTTCAATGGTGCATAGCAATTTGATTTTTAATCCCTAGCCATCCTTAAATTTATGTTAAAATATTTAATAATATTTTAATGGAATATTTAGACCATCCTATAGCATTCAAGTTCTATTGACACAAATAAATACTGTAAGTCAAAAATTTCCATAACTCAAGTTTAAAAGTAGTACAGTCTAAAATACTCAGGTAATTGAGACCAAGTGTCTCAGGGCTGGTAGCATCTGGAGCATTGTCCAAAGTCTCTCCTGCAGTCTAAGATTTTAGTTGTTACCATATGGTTGGCATATTTCTCTACCTTCTTCAGTGGCTGCATTTCCAGTCAGTGGAGAACCAGGTCCTGAGAAATATTCAGGAATTACAGAGACTTCATATTTTGTGTCTGGAGTCAGGTTCTCCAAGGTTCTTCTCCTTTGGTTGGCTGGAGTGGTAACTTCTTTGCTTTCTCCACCAGCAACTGGTCTATATATAATTCGGTACCTTAAAACTCTCCCTGGAGCTTGAGTCCAGGTAATTTTAAAGCTGTCTGTAGTCTCATCTGTCACTTTTAGGTTTCGAGGCGCTCCTTTCACTGAAATTTTAAAAAAAGTTGACTCATTTTATATGAAAAATACAAAGCTACCTTTTGATCACTAAATTATACCATTGCCCTAAACAAACCCATATACAGTTTTTTGACAAACATTCTGGTTACTGCATTCATTTAGCCAGACACTCACTAGACTCTGAAACAGCAAACAAATGTGATATCCAGAAACAGAGTAGGTGCTGTTAACTTTCTAATCAAATAAAGAGGCATATATAATAGTAAATTTTTAGAGTCATAAATATTCTACTAAATGATAAATTCCTATTGACATAAAATTCAAAAATAAACATTTTGTTTCATCAAATGTAAGTAACCAAGGCTTTCACTCTCACGAGATTTTCTCAGGAAAGTAGAAAATGACACCTAACACCCAGGTCTACCACCCTTACCCATCTGAATAAACTGTTTCTTCTGGTCAGCCCCATAACTAACTTGTTACCTGTACAGTCATTTGACTTGGAGAGTAATGACACCATTCATGTGTTGGACCTAACTCATTATCGGTACTTAAGGAATGCTAGTTAGATCTAAATCTTGAGGTTCATTTGCAATGTGGGTAATATCCACAGATTTTGATTAAACACAAATGAAAACACCATTTGGCTTTGGGTTAGTAAACATGTTTAAATGACCCATTTGTTTAGTAGGGAAGCTGTCCACATGGACAACACATTCAGGAAATGAACTACAAGTTATCTTCTCAATCCACTGGGGTGAAAACACTGTGCAACATGCCTGCATGCACCTCGCACGCAATCACACCTTCACCTAAACACCCAGCACACCAAGGAGAAAGAAATTATCTTTCTCAAGAAAAGAAAGAAATGGCTGTTGACACCCTTACACCCATGATTCATTTTTTATAACAAAGCAAAAGGCTAAATTAGTCCTCCTGAATGAGGCAATAAATTGATGGGTTTGAATACTGGCCTGAAGCTTAATAGATATGTAATTCTGAGCCTCAGATTACCCCACAGTAAAAATGTGAGTACTTAATGGGATTATTGAAATGATTAAATGAGATAATCCATAGAAATCAATTATCGTAGTTTCTGACATCTGTCAGGAGCTCAATCATTGGTAGTTTAATAAGGGTATTGCATCAGAAATTTCCTTATTGACTAAAGAAATTCAAATCTCAGATTTCACTACAGACCAACAGAACTGGAAAGGCATTAGCAAATTCTGTTGTGGTAGCCCAATGATCAAAACCCAGAGTATACATGAATGTAATCACTTCTACTCGAAAAACTTTTAGACTAAAATTTCCTCTTGAGGCATAGTCCCATCCCTAGGCCAAAGTGCTCAAGAACAAGGGCCAGGTTCATGAAGAGGTAAGGTGGACATCACAGAGGAATCATGAGAGAGTCACAAATATCTAAGGGTGGACTTGTAAGTCATACAATCACAAAAATCATAATAAGACACCTTAGGCTATTTAGTGCATTTGCTGGGCTTTGGGTAGAAATATACCTAAACCATGCACAAAAGAAAACATCAATTTTATTTGAAAAATCTTTCAGGGAAAAATATTCTCTAGCTGTTATCAGCAATGCATGTCAAAATGTGCCTTCCCCATCAGCAGATACTTCTTTGTAACCATCTTGAAACTCCTCACTGTGCTCTTTCAGCCTCTTCTCTTATCCCCAATAAAAACAGAGAAGAACAATCAATATCTCATTCACTATATTTATCTGGAAAAGTAATGGCCTGGTCTTAGTCTTCCTAACCAGGTTCATTGATATCTTTTAAACATCAAATGTAATGAATCAGAAAGTATTCAATTCTACCTAGAAAAGAGAACACATCTAAACAAACACTGCCTAAAATATCTGATAAAATGTGTATGTTCGTGCTCTCAGCAGCATTATTTACAATAGCTAAAAGGTGAAAGCAACCCCAGTATCTGTGTGTGTGAATGAATAAACAAAACCCGATCTATACATCCAGTAAAGTACCATTCAGCCGTAGAAGAAAGGATGTTCTGACACAAACTACCACACGGGTGACCCTTGAGGACATGATGCTAAGTGAAATAAGCCAGTCATAAAAGGACAAATGTTGTATGATTCTACTCATATGAGGTATGTAAAGTAGTCAAATCCATAGAAAGTAAAATAGTGGTGTCCCCTGAAGGGGAAATAGGGATTTATTGTTTAATGGATACGGAGCTTCAGTTGTGCAAGATAAAAAACATTCTGGATATGGACGTGGTGATGGTGGCACAACATAAATGCTACTGAATGTACACTTAAAGGTTAAAAGGGTAAACCTTATGTTATATACACTTCACCACAATTAAAAAAGAAAACATTAGGTAATACATATTTGTCATCAGACCCACAGACAGAGTAAGGCAGTTTCAGAAGTAATTGAGCATGAAACTTGAAATGTGGGACAGAAAATGCTGTAATTATTAACAGTTCTCTGTGTCTAGTAACCTCAAATTCACCAAAGTAAGTCTAGGGCTTTTTACTTAAAAGGGTTTTTTTTTTCTCCTTTTAAGAAGATTTATGAATAGCTGTATTTTAAAGATACTGAATCTTACAAAGGCATTCACAATTCTGAACTATAAGCAGACGGTTATTTCAAATGGTAACCTTGTTCTACAATGAATTGCTAGTTTGGGGAAAACAGTGGCGGAAACCCCGTCCCACCTTCTTCGGTGCTCTCCTCTCCAGTTAGGGGAATGCTGAAGCCATCTTCATACTCCGCAGTCACGTTGACCAAGTACAGGGTCTCCGGCTTCAGGTTGTTGAGGACGACGCTGGTGCTTGATGCTGGCTCCACCACTGTGACCTCGTCATCCCCGGTGGCTTCTTTGTAGGTGATGTGGTAGGAAAAAACATTTTCTCCAGCGGGTGACCAGTTAGTTTTAAAACTGTAAGAAGTCACCTTAGAAAAGCTAAGATCCTTTGGAGGTACATAAGCTAATTTAAAAAAAAAAAAGAAGGACACAGCTTAAAATGTGTAAACTTACAAAGCAAAACTAGACTTAATGACTACATATTCCTGAAGTGGCTCAGAGCCATTTGGGAGAGTGGTCGCTGAGACCAGTGTAGTGAGGAGAGATACCCACACGTGAGCACAGAGAGAAGACCTCACACAGCCCTACAAGGAGGTGCTCATCATGTGTCTTGACCATTCATAATACTAAGTTATATGGCTTAAATGACTAATTAAAATTGAACTGGAATCTTGAGCTTCTTAAGACAAAGCTGTAGTGCAATGGTTCTGCCCACAGTTGGGATTTTAGATAGTAAAAGACCTATAATAAACCATGAAAATGCTCCCATTCATCCCTGGCAATCACATATTAATCTTTGGTAATAAACACTTTATTTCAATGTAATAACTCAGGAATTTTTCCCAATGAAAGAACATTCAATAAACTAAAACATAGGAAGAGGCAATGTTTAAGGCACTCAGCCTGTCTTCAAAGGACATACAAAGAAATGGAGAGACAAGAGAATGTAAAGTCATCAACAAAACAAAGCAGTACATAGGAATGTCAAGAGACTGAAAGTGATGTTATAGCACAAGAACAAGTAAGAAAGGCTTGATGAAAGATGTATAACTGAAGGCTGAAAAAAAGGAACTTGGACATAGGAAAACAAGAGGGACAAGGAAGCCCAGATGCAAGAAAGGATGCCCAAAATTGTCCAGGAAAGGGAATGCATAAAATAATTCAAAGGTCCAGGACTATAGTCTAGTTGTCCTTGATTCAGAGGACACAGCATCCAGCACATTGTAAACATTCAATGAATTGGATGTGATAAATGGGTCTGACAAAGCTGGTTCCTAGCCCTGACTGAACATCTAGGATCAGAAACATCTCATGACTCTATAAAGCAAAAATGTCTAGGAGAAAGTCACATCTCAAAGTTAAATAAACTAACTTTAACAGTTTTCAGTAACATAGGAAATTTACTTTTTCCCGTATATAAAAAGAATTCAAGAACCATATTATCTACAATTTTAAAATAAAAAACTCTTTGTTCACAATGAGATAACTTTTACTCTACAGAGACTACTAACCTTTTTTCTTTATAGCTGCCAATTCTTGCTCAATTCTAAGACAGATAGACTGTGTGAGTTCAAAAGATATCCTCTGAAAAGCATCAAAATCTTCCACTGTGAACACATGGGTCTCGGCAGGAGGAGAGGCAATAGCTTCTAATTCTGAGCGAACGGCATCTTTCACACCAACTGCAAAGATTTCAACATCTGAATTCCTTAGTTTTACAGCAGGATCTCTAAAAGCATCTGAAGATTTGCCATCAGTAATAAGGATCATGACCTTTGGTACATTGCTTCTTGAACCCTTGCTAGGCAAAAATATCTTCTCTCTGACATAAGTCATTGCTTTCCCAGTGTTTGTAGATCCTCCTCTGTAGGGGAAGGTGTTTATTGCTTCAATTATATCTTCAACTTTGGTGAATCTTTCCAAAGTGAACTCAGTATGCGGATCCCGGCTGTACTGGACAAGACTTATCTGTACTCTATTTGGTGAAATCTCAAAACTTTTTACGAGAACTTCCAAAAAGGCTCTCACTTTAACAAAGTTGGCAATCCCGATGCTATACGAACCATCAACTAAAAACACAATATCGGCTTTTATATCCACACCACGTGAACATTCTGTAAAAAGAAAGAAAGCCAAATAAAATTCAACAAATATAAATTAATCATGAAAATATAGCTATATATTGCAAATACTTTGATTTAAATTAAATCTGAATCAGTAAGACATACTATCAAATTAGACTTCACATATTCCAAACCCAATAATCACCTATTAACTTACCCACTTGAACTTTCATTGGCTGAGTCTTCTCCATGATTGAAACGGGTTCACTGGATGTCAGTCCCTTCATGGCAGAAACACTGATCTGGTATTCTGTGTCTGCTGAGAGGTCACGAACACTAAGCATGGTCGTCTGAGGCCCTACACTCAGAGCATGCTGGCGGCTTCCAGTGGTCATGGGTATGAGGAGGACTTTATATCCAGTCACTTGGCTAGGAGATGGGGTCCAACTTAGCTTAATGTATTTTGATGAAACTTCTGTTGCAACCAAATCTGAGGGAGGTTCAATAACTAAAAAGTAACAAGCAAAACAGTGATTACAAAACAGTGGGATGCAACCCTATTAATTAGGTCTGTAGGTTTTGACCTTTATTCTCCTCATTTAAATTAATCACAAATGTATCCAGAAGCATTACCCAACCCCAGCCTTCCATGTCTACCTGTACCCAGCAAATCAAGAGAGAATTGGTGCCAGATTTTTAGCCAGGAAGCTAGGATGTGTAGAGAAAAAAGAAAACTCTTGGAAGAAATTAATGATAAGATATCTTATGCCTGATCCTTCCCTGGGACCAAGATTTCCATTTACTCATTGTCTTTATTCTCAGTATTGATGATATTTGTTAAATCAATGACTTAATTCTTCAGAAATTTTTCCTCTTTGGTATTATTATAAGATAAAAATATAATATTTAAAAAGATACTTTATAGTATTTCAAGAAAGGTAAAGAGTTCACCAAGTCCAAAATGACAGGTTTCTATCATTTTAGGCAGTTTCATTTCCACTTACTTCAAGGTAAAAATAATAGTTCAACAATGTTCATAATGCCACCAACAAGAGGTGGTGAAACAGCGGTTTACAACATACATGCTAACAAATACTGAAATCTAAAAAATTTCTATCCTTACTCAATGTAGAACACAGCCACGTACTTAAACCAAAACATAAAGTACTTTAAGATATTTCAGACCAAATCTTCAACATTTCACATTTGTCCATGAAATCAACTTCCCAGAAGATATAATTCTAATTGTTACATCAGCCTGCAAGAAGTAGATGATAAACAAATCCAAGGTGACTCACCATCTCCTCAAAAAGGCAATCAGATAGTACGTGTAAAAGTATGGTGTCTGAAGAAGAAAGAGATTGTGGGACAGAAGCGATGAATGTGCCAGCCAGAAGGCTGGCCAAAACTCGAGCAATTCAGAGACCGCACAGGGAATAGAAGTTGCAGGCAAACGCCAGCAAGGACAGAAGACGGAGAACAGCACCTGAGTTACATACAGCCTGCACCCCGAACGGGGGAACAGCAACAGCGGTAGAACAGAAGTCTGGCCTCCCCGGTATGTGCATCCCAGTGAAGTGGAAGGGGAGTTAGGATGCTTCAAAGATTAAGTGAAGAGAGGTTTACTAGAGAAAAATGGGTTGGAGGATGGATTTTGTACTAACACCAATCAAAAAAGTCAGACATTAGGCAGTTAAAGCAAAGAAAAAGATTCAGAGCCCATGAAGTAATGAGAAGGAGCTCAGAAAGAGTTACAGCCAATGTACACTGCCAAAATACTTGGGATTTGGAGATTAAAAGTTTATGTAACTAAAGATGTAGCTATTTCAAACTCATCTCTAATCACTTGTCAGTTCTCAGGCTAATAGGGGAACAATTATGGAAATTGTGACTTTTTAACACCTGAAAGGATGGCTATGAAATATCATCTCTTTCTTCCATATATTCAGAAGCAATAATGTATAAAAATGAAAATATTTTCCAGCTATAAAAGGATCAGAATGACTGATTTTGAAATTCTTAAGGCTTTGAAAACATGATGCAGAATATGATGATGGAAAACTCATTTCCTTCCCCATTTAATAAAACACTGCTGCTAGTATTTACATTGCAGAATGCTAAAATTAGTGTCTTCCCCAAATTGTCAATGTTTCAATCAGAGTGTAAGATAATTAAACCTGAATTGCATAATTATGGACCCTCAATATGTACAAAATGATCTTAGAGAAGAAAAACAAGTCAAACTTGTCCAAAAAAGATTTTTAAGAGCTTTACAATAATAGAAATATTTTATCATTTAATGTTCCACTGAGAAGGAAAGAAACAGTACAAATGATGTCAATAAGCTGCGTAACTAACAAACTATACGAGTTGAGGACACGGAGAATCACTGCAGGATGTAGGTGAGTGAGTGCATCTCCTCCTGGACACCTGTAAAGCTACAGATGCTATCAAATAATGGAGAGGGCTAGCACACGGAACATACAACGGTCCACTCACCTTCCTCTCCACTAACCAATTCACCGAGTTGCTCATCCACACCTGAGCACACCTGGGAGATGATCTCGTTCTGAATATCCACAATAGCATCAAAGTTGGCCACGTTGAAAACATGGTTTAGTGAAGGTGTGGAGGCAATCTGTTTGAGTTCTTTTGCATCTGCAGCTTTAATGCCTTAAAAACAAAATGAAGAGGATTTAGTAAAAATGAGAAGGGTGCTGACCTGGGGAAGATCTTCATTTTCTCAGTCTTTCACAAGGGAAGACATTTTCAAATCCTTATTTAGTAAGAAACCAGAATTGCTTTGCTTCATAATGAAAGTGTAGCTGTTCAAATGACAAAGGCATTTTATAATTTCACCTAAAGCCGCCAGCCAAAGATGAAAACAAATGGTCAGGAAAACAGACTGGACCCTCCTGCTGACCACACCATCATTTGTCCCTGCCATCTGTAAAGATAATACTTTCCTCTTCCAGAGTCTAAATGAGCTGGATGGAGCCCTCTGAATTCTTCAAGTATTACACAACGTAGGAAATATAAAAAACACTTAATGATAATACAAGGAGGATCTTTATTAGAATCACTGGCCCAGCATTCTTTGAAGAGCAGAAGGCTGGCAAAGAAGGTGAATACCCCCGCACTTAATGCATATGCTGAGGGAGTTACCTGAGAGAAACAGACAAGCCGAATTTTTACTGAAGGATGATGTGGCTTAATACTACACTACGCAATGCAGTAACACTTTTAACAGCATCCTTCCCTGAGAAGTCAACTCTTCGTTCCTAAGCATTAAGTATTGAAAAGTTCTAAAATAAAAACAACAAAACTTGACCTACCCAAAGAGAAAATTTCAACACCAATACTGCGAAGCTCTCTCGCCGGAACCTCCACTTCATCCTGGGATTTGCCGTCCGTAATAATAATTGCCACTTTAGGAAAGCCAGTTCTTGCTCCGGCAGATTCCGTGAAAGTATTTTTAATTAAGTAATCAATGGCATCCCCTGAAATGAAAAGAAGTATTACATTCATTCACCCTGCATTACACAATTTTGCCAAAGTCAAAAGCTTTGATTAATCTCAAAATTATTTAACATATGATACTTGTGCAATGCTTCCTTTCTTTCACAAATGGGATTTTTCTTTTATTTTCAACAACAACACAATTTGTAAAACGTACCTGTCATTGTGTTGCCACCTTTGTATGGGATTTTTTTAATTGCAGCAAGAAGCTCATCCCTTTGGTAGTACTGGTTTAAGTTAAATTCCGTCCTGGTATCAGAGCTGTACTGAATGACTCCAACCCTTGTCTTCTCTTCCCCAATGTCAAAAGCAGACACAAGAGCCACAATAAAGTCTAAAATGTACTTGAAATTATTTCTTCCCACACTCCATGAGCCATCCACAAGGAACACTAAATCAGTCCAGGCACTGACAGAGCATTCTGAAATACATTTGAGATATTTTTAAATGATGCATTATTAAATTTACCTGTCACTGAAGGAAGACAAACTAACACTGCAAAAATATTGGCTCCTTAAATCATTTTGATCATTAGAACATATTCATCGGTCTTCACCCACAACTGGCACGCACAGAACAATATAAAATTTTATTAGCGTCTATGGAAACAGTTTCAGTGTCTTCATGAAAATGCATTTATGAAACCACAGTCTTTAAATTTCTAAGTAAGACATGCAAGAAGAGAAATAGATGTACGGCCTACTTTCCAAGAGCATGTGACCCAAGTATTCATGCTCTCAACCTATTTTTATGGATTGTATCCTCAGTCCTCTTTTCTCCAAGTAAAAATTATATGAAGTATCTGGGAGAGGTAAAAAGGAAATGTAAGCAGTGTTTTTACCTCTTGGTATTCAGCAATAAACAAATACAAAGCAAATGCTGTACCATTCAAGCAAATTCGGCTGAGCTGAAGAAATGAGCAAATTTGTTAACGTTCTCCTTCATTTTTCAATATACTTGTCTAAAGTTTGCAGTGATTAGTCTAGAGGATTAATGAATTCTAACAAAGTAAAAACAAGCACAAATATGATGTAAGATAGCCAGAATATCTTGTTGTCTTAATTATCAATATATTTCAATTTGATGACAAAAACCTACTTCTACTAAACAAAGAGGGGGGAAAAACATTTTAATTTAAAAGGCAAAGTAAAAATGCACATGGTATCCTTAAATTACTAAAATGCAATGACTTGCTTTTACAACTCTCTGTGGTCAGGACAACAGGTTGGTTTTCATGAAAATTTATATTTGTAAGGCAACACTGAGTGAATTTTTCTGAAAATGTTTTTGTCCTTGTGGTCGGTGGATGATGATGATGATGATGATGATGATAATAATAATAATAATAATAATAATAATAATAATAATAATAAAGTATTTGCCTGGTAAGAGGAGGAAAGGGTCCTGGAAATTTTTGCAAACAAAATAAAAGTTACATGCCCCAAAATTTTTTGCATGCTATTTAATGGGCCAATTTAAGTATATTGAAAAGTCAATATTTGTCATAATGCTTTGATCTAAGATAAATATTGGTGGTTTAGGAAAAATATTATCATTGTAACTGCATATTTCATTTTGGTTTATTAGACATCAGAAAGAATGATAAACAGTGATCCAGAATGAAAAATTCCAGATATTGAAAAATTCCGGATGCTTTGTGTTCACAATCTTTTTATTGTCATCCTAGGTCATAAATCCAACTTCTTCAAGGTAATAAAATTAGAGTCCAAGAAACCCCTTAAGGGTCTATCCTAGTAAATCAGACAAAGCAGTATAAGGCAAAAGGAGGCTAGAAAATGCAAAACCTAGAGTAAATAAAGTTGCTTTCATTTGATTACAAATGTACCCACTTACCAATTATGTCTTATGAGGTTCTGGAAAAGGCTACAACTGCCATCAACCAAGGTCATGTAAATACCTTAGATAGGAACATAAGATATACACAGACCTGGAAATACACATTTTCATGGCAACCGAATTGCTTGTAACACTGTGGGAGCATCTTCCTTCTGTTCCAGCCTCATATTTCTCATCCATCCCTAAGCTACCACCTATTTCTATCAGTTCGTCTTTGAGATATGACTTAAGTCCAGTGATGAGGCTTATTTTTCACCTACTGCCAAAATCCTGCAGGAAAATTTGGACACCCACAAATTCAAAGCATTTCTAGTAAAAATAATACTTAGTAAACAGAGTGAAAAATTGGCCAGAAAGTCAAAACACAGATATTGTAACTGCTTAGTCATACATTACTATTACATTGTACTTCTAGATAAAGCTTATAGAAAATAACAAAGAAGCACCACCAGACTATGTATATATTTGAAATATCTTTTTTTAAAGATTTTATTGATTTATTTTTAGAGAGAGGGAAACCGAGAGAGAAAGAGAGGGAGAGAAACATCAATGTGTGAGAGAAACTTTGGTTGCTTTTCACACAGTCCCAACTGGGGACCTGGTTCGCGCAACCCAGGCATGAGCCCGGACTGGGAATCAAACCAGTGAAATTTCAGTTCACAGTCTATTGAGCCACACCATCCAGGGCTGAAACATCTTCATGTTACCCTCATGACTTTTACAAATGTAAGCAAAAATATTAAAGGAAATACTTACTTTGTGCCTCTGTTTTTCCAGGTTTCTTCTCCCCTGGCTTCGTCGGACCACCTGTTTGAACTGAGTCAAAGCCTGATTATTACAGAAGGAAATGAACCCATACAAATACTTCCTAAAAATAAAATAAATGCATTGTCATTCAAATGTATGGTCCATGACTAGCTGTTAATAGAATACAGCCAAATATGCATTTACTTGCAACAAAATTATTTTTAGTGAGTTTTAGCTATATTTCAAAAAGACATTAATGTTGTTGCCTGGCAAACTGTAATGTTTTTAATAGTTTTCATTCATAACATTCCTGATGATTCCAGAGGCCAGGGTTATAAATCAGGAATGAATTATTCACATCCAGTAATAACTAGGATCATAAAAATGACTGTTCTAAGAAGAATAGTTAATGCTGATATAAATGAACTCTGCAAGGTAACAAATTAAATGTGAAAGCTGGAGAAATCTTCTGCAAAATGAACTAAAAGAATAAAAGTACTTTATATGTGTGCTTACTTGTGAGTTGGCCTATAACTGGTACACTTTCTTCTACTTCGTCATATGAAGTGATTGTCACCACATACTCTATTTCAGGTATAAGGTCTGACAGTAAAGTTTCAGTGGTACTAGCTGCCAGGGTGAATTCTTTAGTGGGCCCATCTGGAAATATAGAAAGGAAAATATGAATGTAACAAAACTTGTTATGTACAATACAATAGGATGTAATTCCCACATACACTCAAAATCTGAACAATTCAATATATACTAGTTCTCAGAAGATCCAAACATTGTGTTTTTCTGTCCTTCATAACCAAAACCTTGAATTCTAGAAATTCAATGAATAGACTAGCATTGCCTTTACTTGTTATGAGGATATTCAATATTTGTTTGAAGACTCAAGGATTCCTCTAGATAAAAGATACACCAGAATAGCAAACCAAAAATCTCTTATTGTTTTGGAAGACGAATAATAAATAACAAATTTTTTATAAATGAGATATAAAGTAGGAAATAATTTTAATATTAAATTATGCATTGGAGGAGAGCAGAGAAAATCAGCTCTAGGGAAATTAACCCCATAGGCTACTATTAACCTTTACTGGGAAACAGTCAGTGTGGAAGCAAAGAGCTTCCACACCCAAACAGGTGCACACCTTACTGGGCGGCCACACGCCTCCACATCAACTCAGTAGCAAATGTTTCCAGGCACAGGGTACCTGATGTTTACTTACCTATCAATAATTTATATACTTCCCTCTAGTTTGTGTTAAATTTCAGATTAATCATGAAACACAATAGTTTCTAAGGACTAAGTGCTTGTTAAGATTTTTAATTAGATTAAATTTTCATTGAAATACAAATAATCCAAAAAGGTAACAGATGTAATAGGACTCTGAGAAATGCTCCTGGATTATATGTAAAACATTGCAGAACCAACCAGGGCCCCCAAGATACCAGGGCCCTGCTGTGCCGGGTGGTCCCTGTACTAGCTTGGGGAATATAGGAGTCAGTGGTTTACAACATCTGGAAACTGAATAGATCCCTTTCAACTGTTTTTCTCCTTTGAATGAATGAATTCACTGACTGCAAACATATTGGAGAGAAATTATTCAAACAAGAAAAAGCAAATTAAAAAAAGTTTTTTAAAGATTTTATTTACTAATATTTAGAGAGAGGACCAGGGAGAGAAAAACAGAGGGAGAGAAACATCAGTATGTGGTTGCCTCTCATGTGCCCCTCACTGGGAACCTGGCCCACAACCCAGGCATGTGCCCTGACTGGGAATCAAACTGGTAACCCTTCGTTTTTTAGGCCAGTGTTCAGGACACTTAGCCACACCAGCCAGGGAAGAAAAAGTAAATTTTGACCCTTTTTTATGTCCTCAGATCATATTTTAAAAGTAGTTTCCCCATTCCCTAGTAAATCAGTGATTTAAAGCGTGGGTATCTTTAAAAGCCGTAAGTAAACATAGCGCTGGTGATAAGTTACGCTGATGTAATTCATCTCTACCGCCAGCCTATCAAGTCTTCTTCCAACCACTCGGTCAGTGTGAGTGGAAATGATTATTTTCCCATTACATGTCAGAACTAAAGTTAATCAGCAGAGATTGGTTCTCCACACTTGGGCAATATAATAAACATTAAATATTGCTCTTAAGAGCAATCAGAGCAATTTTTTTCAGAATCATAGCCTGGGATCTACAGAATCTACATAACTAAAGTATCTTTCATCATAGTAGCTTGCCATTATCCCAGAAAAAAATGTTTCCTGAGTACTGAAGTGTGTAAGACACTGGGCAAAGTATAACAACTCACTTCATCACTCGATACTTTACATGCTGGAAATATTAGTAATTCAAGAAGATTATCAAGAAGTGAAAAAATCAAATATTACCAGCAATATCTGATCAGGTACCAAAAAAGTCCATTTTTAATAACAGCTTAACAGCAAACCATGTTAATCAACCTCAACACTATAAAAATACGACAGTGGGTACTATGCTGAAAATCTGGAGACTTGAATCCCACCAAATATCTGGTGGCACCGGCTAAATCTCTCAGGCTTTCTAAATATCAGATTCCTTATACAAAATGAAAGGTGGGGAGAAGAGTGGATTGTACCATCTTTGGTGCTCCTAAGAGCAAAACTTACCTGTTGTAGGGTCCACTGTTATTCTGTAGCCCACGATTGGATCAGTTGGTCTCGCCCATGACATGTGAACAGTATTTTCATCTATAATTTTAAAATTCAAGTCTGAAGGTGGGTCAACTGCAAAAAAGAGAGTTGATATCAGTCACACTTTCCAATTTCAGAAAATGGTCAATTTAGTTAATAAGAATTGTGTTGAGCAAAGCTTACTAAATTGTCTTTGCATAAATTTGTTTCCAACAAATATAAAAGATATCTTGTTGGATAAGAATAAAATTAAAAGCTGACAAGATATGACAAAACATCACAGAGTATACATATTATAGAAGACAGCACAAAACACTTTTGATTCTTGAGTTGCTAGGTCATCCAAGAATGGCCAGCAAAATCAAGCATAATAGAAACATATCTGGATACAAGTACATACAAGTACAATGAGATCACATGTAATAATCACGTATGCAAACAATTCACAGAACAATTAAAAGAATTTCAATACATGCTGAGTGCATTTGGAATAAGCATGCCATATCACAACCTGCTTACAATCATAGTTCATTTAGAACATTGACATAATACTTTTTTTTTCCATTATGTGGAAAAGAATCAATGATGTTTTTGGTTCATTCTCTGCATTGAAGTCTTGCTATTAATTTTTGTTGGGTAAATCTCAATCTGTGGCAGAGATGAAACTGTATTTTAATGAAAAGAAATAATCATGGGAAATTTAGCACTGCTATGTTTCACAAAAATGTATACATATAATGTATATTCATAGTCATATAAACAAATATTCAAATAATAAGAGATGTTCATAATTTATAAATGTATAGAGTAATGTACAGCTGTTTATAAAATGAATATTCCACCTGTTTACACCTATTGCTGTATGTTTGCAAGGTGTAAACCAACACTGTTCTTTTCCTTTGCAGCAGGTATACTCCATACTAGAAATGGCATTTTAAGTTAAAATGCCAGTATGGTCCTCTACAAAACAATGGTTAATTATGGAAAGACAACATCAATGTATATTTATGGACATTTATTTACAGAACTTAAAGAAAACAGCGAAGAAGAATCAGCAATCTGGAGACATGACTGTGCATAAAAACTTGGAGAAGTCAATGAAAGGAATAACTGGAAAGTACAGAGAGAGTTTACATACAAAACCGTACAGCATCATGCACGTGTCAATAAAATGTTGACTTGTTTTTAGTTTCCCACAATGAACAAAAGCCTCCATGTACAATAATCATTACACAAAGACGTTTCAGAAATATTTTATAATGATATCCTCCCTGCAATGTTCATGCCTCATCATGCAGCATTGGACTGACTCACTGTCAGTGCATGGTCAGTGCATTACAAATTATTGCTCTGGAAGCGGGTCAACAAAGGAAGAAGACTTTCAGCCGCAGTCTTCTTAAAGTGTTTAAGTCTGACAGTGTTTAATTCCTTGTGAGTCAGAATTTTTCAGAGATTAAAATCTCTTTGTAGGTTTTCACAGAGGTCAATTGAAATACAGCCGTAGCTTTGAGACATGGGTCATAGAATTTAACTGGGGTTAGGGATTTATGTAATATTAATATGTTTAAATGGAAATAAAATAAAGCAAACATTTGCTTTAACACACTGCTGCTCACAATTGCAGGAGATGGCTTTTTATTTTTATTGGATATGCTAGTAATGGAACGAATGTTATTTTCCTACTATCCATACACAGGCAGTGAGATTAGACTATTAATCTACATGCATGGTTTAATTATTCAACATTCTGCTGTCTGACCACACTGCAAGGTTCAGCTGTCATCATCACTTAGTATAACAAGCATGCAACAAATGTTAATAGGAAAATGGCTATTAAGAATATCATTATAAAATATTGTTCCAGTAGCAATGGCTCAGGACAAATTTAATGCAAAGGCAGACACAACTGGCCTGAGCATGCTTTAAAAAAACCAGTACATGGAAAAACAGTACCACCAACCTTGTAAGGAAATTGACCTGAAGCGGCAGACATTAGGTTAAAACTGCTGGAGGGCAGCAGCGGCCCACCTTGTTGGTTTCCAAATGACCAGGATTCCAGAAAAACTGAAAAATTGACTGTTGGGAAAAGTCTTTAACATTTCAGAGGAATTGAACGTGTGCACAGAAACTCAGATGCGGTACTTGGGAATCGAAAGCAGGAAAGAACGGCCGACCGGCGTGTGTACAACAGACAACCCACTCTGCCTTCCTTCCTCCCCATTTATCACACGCAAAACCTTTCAGGATTGCCATGCAGTTCACACATTTTTGGTTTGTTTCGTGAAAAGAAAAGATAGCAAAATGGGTGTGAGTATGGACTGCCACCAATTTGAATCAATGCAAAATATATTTTCAATAATTTTGAAATTGTTTTCTTTTCCATAAAAATAACTCACAACTGCCCTTACATCATCACAAGCAGCATTCTGTGTTCCTAAACCACTTTACAATTGTTTCTTTTTTCTCCTCATAACAATCCAGTATAGCAGGTGTTCATAGATGGGTCAGTGAAATTCAGAGGGGTTCATATCCCAGTTTAATAGATGGGTCGGTGAAATTCAGAGGGGTTACCACAGTGAGTAAACAGCAAAACTTTGATCCCTTGGTGTGACTCAGCATATACCATTTCCTTAGATACTGACTTAAACAGAAAGAATCAGAAATATTTGAGTAAAAGAAAGGACCCATGGACATGGACAGCAGTGTGGGGAATGCAAGGGGGAGAGGGTATAAGGGGACTAAATGGTAATGGGAAAAAGTACAATAAAAATTAACTTAAAAACATAAAAACAGTATTTACACTTAGTTAACTATTAATATACATATATATATTTCTCTCTACTCTATAAAAACACGGTATTTGATGCCTGTTCAATAATAAATATATGATACTTAGATATCTCCAAATCAGATACAGATAGCATTTGGCAAATGCTATCTGTACACACTTGTTCGATTGATTTTAAAACTAAAGTGTCTACCCTGACATATAAATGTTAAGAAACAAAATTCTTACATAATGGCACTCAAAAGGAAGAAACATCCAAGAATGTATAAACTGTGCAGAGATGGATGGATGGGTGGAAAGATGAACAGGTGACAGGAGAATAGTCTGATAAGCTTTGATAAGTATATAAAATGTGTTAAAGATAAAGAAAAACTGAGAACATACTATAAAAATACAACCTTGATAAACTGGTAAGAATTGTAGTCTAATCTTTGGGAAAATAACACTAAAAATAATGCTACCCTAATGGTAAATAACTTTAGAAGTGTGCAGAGAGTGATTTTACTATATTCAAAAGGCATTAGTTTAAATTTTCCATCCAAAGCTAGTATAAATTTAATAAACTTTGCCATAATATAGATGTTAATTTCATCTGTATTTCTAAGACTCCAAAAATAACCAGTTGAAAACTTAATACTTCAGACAAATGATGAATCATTTGCACACATTATACAATGTGTTCCCCCATTAAACTGACGGTGTTGACCAATTTTTGAACAAGAAGGAGGCACAGTATGGGCAGATCAGCACCACATCAGGCCTGGAAGACCCGGGTCTTGTCTGTTTAAGCCCTGTCCCTGGGTAACCATGTTAGTTTACAGAATCATTCAGCCTCTCTGCTCCTCATTTTCTCAGGTGGAAGAGAAGAGAATTAGAGTAGATGATCTATGAGCTCTCTTCTATCTGAAATTTCTGATATAAGTTTGACATAGAATTATAGAAATAAATATTAATTAGCCTTTTAACCTAAACACAGGGTAATAAAGCATATAGCCTCAACTCCCTGATGAACTGATGATATGCAATTGTTCATTTTATTTGACAACTCTAGGTCACTCAGAGCACTGAGAAAGCGACAAGGTTAATAAAGTCTTTGTTGCTCCTAAAAATTACAAATTCTAAAGGCAAAAAAAATCACTCTCACCCTTATTTCTATAGGACAAACTAATGTGCTTGGGGAAAATAAAGTCCCTTGTATAAGAAGGTAGAAGAAAAACAGGACAAAGACAAGACCACTTACTAAAAAAGAGAAATGCCAACAGTGAATGCCAAACTTTTAAAAATAATGTCAAAAAAGTATTGGGTTTTCAGCATATAAAAATATTAAGTTAACAGACATTTGTTGGAAAAATGCTAGGAATACAAGAGTGCAAGTATGAACTGCAAAAGGGAAAGAAAAATAACTATGGCTACTTTAGAACTAAAATTAAATTGACATAGCAGGGAACAGGCATGTGAATTAGAATTTTGAAATGTCCCCAATAGACATATTTCAAAGAACTTTTGTGTCCAGCTCACTATCCCCAGAAAGGCCTTGGCCACAAAGTTTGCCCTCCCAGGCTCTGGGACCAGTGGTTGAAGTTAACACAGAGGATGTGCTGTCCAGTACAGGGGCTGCCTGCCAGGTGTGGCTACCAAGCACTCGAACGGGGGACACTCCACAATGAAATGTACTGCAGGTGTAAAATGGACACTTAACTTCAGTGATTAGCACAAAAAATGTGAAGTATTTCACTAATAACTTATATATTGATTACATGCTGAAATGATATGGTGATATTATTAGGATACACTGCATTAAATATATTATTAAGAATTAGGATCTCCTGTTTCTTTTCCCTTTTTGAATGTGACAACCAAAAAACTTTAAGTACATGTGTGGCTTTCATTGGTGGCTCACAATATATGACAGTTCCAAACTGGGGAATAAAGTCCAAGAAATGAATCCTATGAAAATTTAATTATTAAATGTGGATGTGAGGGGATTAGAGACCAGAAAAGACACAGCTTATGAAGCAAAAGGAAGAGCGATACCATGTGGAAATAAATACAAATTAAAAAGACAACATGTGAGAAATATGGAAATAATCAGTAATAGACACACTAAAGTGTTCTTTTTAACTGCACTTGGCTAACCAGCCATTATCCAATTCAGAATTGATTTTTTTCCACTTACATCATTTCCAACCCAATTCTTTTCCTAAGAATTCTCAAGTCTTTCCGATTTTCAAATAACTATTTTCTTAATGAGCAGTAACTAGGCCACTTCAGCGAATTATCTAAAAATATCTTTAGCAGGGCTTCCAGGGTTGCTCAAATAAAATTCCTTCCTAACAATGACACAGAAAGAAGCATAAAAGGCAACCTCTTCTGAACATTACTTCACAAAGGCCACTCTGAAAAGCCTCCCCATTCACAAAAATATTCATCAGATAAGAGAAGCCAGCAAGTTCCTGTCACTTTTTTAACCATGCCATGCATTTTGGAAACTCTCTGTATTCCTCAATCTGGATTTTTTTTGTACCTGCAATCCTAAAGTAGAAAATCCAACACAGTAGGAAGTTTTTTGGAAATCTCAGTGTTGCCATGAGACGCCTCTACTTTCCCACGACCTCTGAAAAAGCAGAAGCCGCCCCGGAACTCCCACAACTGTCCCACGGAGAAGTATTTCTTTTTTTCCCTTAACTCCACCAAGGGCATTTCTTTATTGAAAAAAAAATTAAGATGTTTTTTATGGTATCACTCCATTACTTTGCAGAACAAAACATCTAGTTTGTCAGCTCTCCAATGATAAATGAGGGCATACAGAAGCCCCCATTTGGTTAATATATAGAAATGGTGTGTTTAGCAAATACTGAGAAATTACGGCATGAAGGACACACCAGAAAAAGAAGTTAGGTTGTAAATCTATCCAAAGTCCTTCGTTTTCCAGGGGGGTCAGGCCTACCCACCTCCTAGCCCCTAACCACTCCGCACTCAGGTCTGATGCTGGAAGGATGGTGGGGGGAGGGGGGAGGGGGGAACAGGTGCGTCTGGTCTGGAGCCCGCTCGCTTCTGGAGTTGGGAACTTTGGCCCAGACCCAACCTATCTGAGCCGGGGGCTGAGCCGGGGCCACCGCCCTCCGAATCCCACGGACCAAACAGAAACAGCAGCAACTTTGGACCCTGCGAACAAACCACGGGTCACGGATCTACCTGCCACCTATTCCCTGGGCCTTATTGGCTTCTACCTTATTCGTCTGCTTCGTCCGCCTGTCCGACTGAGCTCCCCACAAAACACACAGACGCGCAGAGCCCGCGCTGTTGGAGTCTTTTATTGTGTGTCCTCACGGAGGTCGCAGCCCCAAGCCAGGTGGTTACCAGCTCCTGGAGCGAGCGAGCCCGCCGGCGCACCAGGGTTCCTGGGTAGCACCCGCAGGTGTCTTCTTTGTAGAGGTGGCAGCAGCCGTGGCCCCTTCCCGGACAGCAGGTCCTCTTGAAGGCAGCAGGGTAGGTGGCAGTGTGGACAGCACACCGCAGAGACAAGCGCAAGGAGACCGACCACACAGCACTGTACGGAACGGATTAAGCAGAATACGAAAGAGCTGGACCGGAGAGCTGGGAAACGGACAAACCTCAGTAGAAGGGGGAGTTTCTCTGAAGGAGAGAAACCCCTAGAGAAAAGAGGAAGTGCGAGGAAACAGAGGGAGCGCAGAAGGAAGATTCCCTTCTTTTTCCTTTTCTATAATTCGACATTGTCACTGGGGGAGGGGAAGGAAGAGTCTTTTACCTTCTGCCTTAGTGAAGGACAGGAGCAGGGCCCCGCCCAGGATGGCAAGCGCTGTGGGAAGCCTGGTCCTCATGTTTGGCCTGGGCCAGCGAAGTCACAGCCACATGAAGGGATCTGCGGGAGGAAGCAGTGGCCGCATCAGAACCGGGCCTGAGCAGGCCTGGAACCGGGTCAGAACTGGAGCCAGGCCCTGGGCCAGTGCCCTAGCATATCTGCCTTAATAATCAACAGGGCCAAGCCCAGCATATAATGGGCTTATTATGGAGCAGTGGAAGTCAAGTTCATCTACAGCAGTTTAATCATGGCACTAAGAGAGAGTTCAAGTTTAAAGTGGGTCCTGTTTTCCTGGAGGCTGATCTTGCTTAGCATCCAGGGTGAAGGATTTACCAGGCCCCACATGACTTCATCCTGCCTGGGTGATGGCTAATTCAGAGGTCATTTTATCTCTGACTCAACTAAATGTCTCTTCCAGCTGGGGATTTTATTTGGCCGGCCACTTTTTCCTAGCTGCTGAACTCTTTAGGTAACTGTACTTTAGTGGTCTGGGGGTAATTTGGAAAAGTATAATAAACCTCTTTTACTCTTTTTTCTTCATTTTGCTCTGCCTACAAATATGCAGCTCTTTAGGTCTGAAATGGATTATACAGAAATATGTAAGGCCCAGCTGAAACCTGACGCTCCTGCTAGCTGTGTTGTCCTCACATCTGATAAATCCTTTACCCAGAATTAGGGGGAAAAAAACAACTCTAAAATACATAATAAAAAGGGGACAAGCAATAGAAGAGACAACACTTTCTTGTCTGTTTCCCAAAGATATTTTTATGACAATGTTCAGTAATTATCCTTTTACTTAACTTTTCACTTATCCCAGAAGGTTACAGATATATGTGCTCCAGAGAAGAATATATGTCCCATTCTGATTTTTCCTGACTGTAACTAAATTTTTAATTCCTGAAAGACAAAGAGCCTTATTTATCTTTTGTGGTTCCTAGCACATAGTAGGTGCTTAATCCATGTGGGCAGAAGGGAATTTTCTAAAACATTCTAAGGTCCAATCCAGAGACAAAAGCTGCTAGCAATGAAGTGGGAAGGTGCCAAGAGGTAAAATATAAAAAGAGTTGACTCCAGGGTACATAAATTATTGTAAGTCAACAGACTAGGCCTCCCGAAAAACAGAGTCATGCTTGGGAATCCGAAAATGAGCCAAAGGTCTAGCCCTCTTTGAGAAAAGAACCTTACAAGCTCCAACCAGGTCTTTCCAAATTATTGGCACGATGTGTTAGGGCAGCTTTCCTCGGCCTGAGTGTAAATTGCATTTTAAATGTCTGGTAAGCAGGCGTGCCAAATTTGCCCTGAGCTCTTTTTTATGAAGCCAAAATTAAAATTTTGGCGCTGCCCTGGAGATCCAAGGGCTCTAGCAATTTCTTTCTTCCTAATTAACAACTGTTTGACATTTCTAACCCTCTTCTACATCAGCGAAAAGCAAGAAGTGAGACTGGCCCATTGTTCCCGTAATCTGGCCTTTACTTTGCTATAATAATTTCCAACTCAGTTGGCAGTCGTGCTCGCGAAAAGTTAAACGCTGACGATCTGCTCACCGAAAAGGTTGTGCAGATATTTTTTTAAAACCGCTAGTCTCCAGGAAAGGAAAAAAAAAATAAAAAAGCCTGGTAGCGGAGGCGCTTTTGCCTGGGTCTGGACCGCCACCTATCGGCTGCCAGATTCAGTGGCAAGAATGAATCATGTTGCGGCCGGGTATCTGAACATACACTGAGTTCAGCCAGCCAGCAGAGAATTCCGTCTTAATGTTTTTTTTTTTTTTCTTTTTCAAGTTTTATCTCCTTTTAGCCAAACGTTCATCTGAATGCTTAGCAAAACTTCATTGAGCAATCTCAGACATAAATGTCTGAAAACAGCTGCCCCTACGTGGCAGCGAGGATTTCCTCACTTCACCTTCATGAATGAAAATGAGTCAGTTGCTGGGGGAAGGGGGTTAGTCTTAAGGGATAAGTCTCCTCCTGCCAACTTGCCCCCTTCCCACCCCGTTGGAAGAGGCCAATTCCTTAATTTACAGTTTAAAAGGGAATTACACCTCCCCCCAAACTCACGGGGGTGCCTCTAAGTCCTTTGCTTGACACCCATCTACCTACCTCCTCTACCGACCCCGACCTTGACTTTGGTTAGCGAAGGGCGAGTTTAGCGCTCATCGTCTCTCTCGCCCCCTCCTACCCTCAGCGAACCAGCGAACTTTAGAAGGTCCAGGCTGAGGTGAGGTGCAGGGGGCACTGGAAAGCCCCGACGGTCATCACAGGGTCCCTGAGGATGCTGGGTTTCAAGTCTTGTTCTGCTTCCTGGCTGCAGGTCTTTCATCCCTAAACGAACCTGGCGTCCACGCTCTCCTATCCCTACATTCTCTGGGATTTGGGATGGAAACTACCTAAGAGGTGCCCCCGACCCCGAGTAGGGCCTTCACCAGTGCACTCGGGAGGAGGTCGGGAGAGGGAGCTTTCTCCAGAAGCTAAGGAAATCCAGCCAAAATTCAGTTCCCTAGAACTAGACTAACCCGCCATCTCGGATGCTTTGAAAAGCAGAGGCACGAGCCAGAACACTCGACCAGGAATCTGTCTCAAGATGCCACACACACCCGCGCGGCCTCGACGAGCTGCAGAGCACTCAGCGGCCCTCCAAAGAATTCCACCCCGTGCGTCACCAAAATACCTTCCCTGCGCCGGGGCTGCAGGACGGCGCCCCCGGCAAAGCTGCAGCCGCGACACAGTGAAGCACCGGTGGCCACACGCGCCGGAGCGTCCTTCACTGAGACCGACAGCATCCCTAGACTCGATTCCTCTAACAAACGGGCACAGTGAACGGGCTGCTTTCTGCACACACGGCCGCCTGCATCAGCTCTTAAGAAAAGCTATTATTCTTTCTCCCTCAAAGACACGAATGAATCCCAAAACCCCAATATACCTGGCAAAACTCGGGCACACCTCCACACTTCCAAGTCCAAACGGTCCTCGCCCGGGATCCTGAATGGCTTAGGGCGGAGCGAGCACCAGGCTAGAAGCAAGTTTGCCTGGTTATCTACCCTCGGGAGGGATGGGGAGAGGGAAACGGGATGGAAGCCGCACCGACCTGCTAGGCTACGATCCAGGCGGCGGCGGCTCTGCGACGTCGGAGCCCACTGAGCTCGGTGCGACCCCCGCGCGCCCCGACAACTGGCGCGGGGTCCTCGAGCACCTGGCAGCTGCTGGGACTTGAGCAGCAGCCGGGCCACCCTGAGGAGGAGGAGGAGGAGGAGGATCCCGGGAAGAGCGGCTGGAGCGGCGGGACGGAGGAGAGGGCCGGGACCGCAGCTGCCGGCGCGCGGACGCAACTGGGCGGCTCGCCTTCGTCGAGTGGGAAGAGGCTCCGCGCCGCGGGCTACTTAATAGAGGGCTGTTCCCAGCTCTCAGTTTACTCGGTTACGAAACGCCTGGGAAGGTGGACGGCTGCCACGGGGTGATGTATGCTCCTCCGGCGGTGAAGGAGGTCTACTTTTGGGAACGTGTGCATACTTCCAGCATTCCTTCGGCGTGAGGTGGCGGTCGCGGTAGTAGCAGCGCCCCGCCGGGGAGCGGGGGAGGGAGGGGGCGGGGAGGGGGACAGCCGCGGCCGGGTTCACTGCCAAGGGAAGCCGCGCACTCCTCCGCTTGGGGCTGGCTGGGAGCTTGGGTTTCCCCATCCGTGCGATTTCCCCTACTGAATTCATTTTTCTAAGTTAAGGACAATGGGAGGAACAGTCGGGGCTTTCATTTTCATAACAGTAAGAATGTGTGAGCGACCCCGTCCCATCCCAGCTCCCATCCCTAATCATCACTGCCTACACCTTCCTTCCCCTTCGTCCAGGGTGCACTTGAAGCCTGTTTTACAGGGTTTCCATTAACTAACTGTCTGTGCACGCAGCTCGCCCTCTTGTCTTTTTCGATCTCGCAGGGGCGACTGGAAACCCGGACAGCCTCGCGCGCGGGGCTCATCGATGGGACGGCTTTCCCAGTCGCGACTCTCTCCCCTGATGCTTTGGGACGGAACTGAGATTCTTAGTACGGGCGCCAAGAGAGAGGGCGACCACTGCCTTGAAACCTAGGGGTCCTTGTAATAGGAAGTCGCTCAGGAACAAGTTTTATACATTGTACAAAGTTCTCACCCGGGCCCAAGACAAGGGTGTGGACCAAAATTTACCCTTGAAACCCAATGGGGTCCAGGCAAAGAGGGGGAGTAAGTTTCCCCCCACTGATGGGGAGATGGAGGCCAAATGTGGGGCTGACATTCCGCCAGAAGCATCTCCTCTTTTCGGCGCCTCCTCCCCGCTCCACTCCACCCCTTGGCTCTGAGCAGGAAGCCTGGCAATCGGGGTTGCCAAATTGTACTAGACGCACGGGAGGAAGCACGGGGCGCTTGCACTCTGGCATCTGAAAAGCGCTTCAGCAGAGGTTCAGATTACACACGTCTGTGCGCTCAGCGCAAACCTTGTGCCTTTTGGCCTCGAGGCCCAGGGGTTACCCCTGCAAGGTTGAGCCACCGGGGATGCAGGAGGTGGCGCCAAGAGGAACGCGGGAGCGGCGTCCCTGGAATTAACCGCCTGCAATAAAGCGGAGGTCTAGTGGCCAAAGTAAACCTCTCTTCCCATTTGATCTGACGTCTGCTAATTTGGCCCTCCTTTCATCAAGCACGATAATCTCCGAACTTGCTTTTAAATGACAAAAACTTGCTGGGCGACCCCCTGCACTCCATCCCACGTATAGGCTGCCTCCAGGCAAAGCCAGAAAAGCCAGGGATTGGAATGGGGGTAAATGGAACTCGCCACCTTTGCACATTCCCCGACTACACACGGCCCACTCGAAGTCCAACTGGGCAGCTCGCACAAAGAGCCCACACGCACACAGCACAGTCTCTTTCCCTTTAAACTCTCACAACCCGGGTGTCTGGCACACACACCCCCAGCTCGAACGCGCCCGGGGTGCAGAGCACAGCGCGCGGTCATCGCTGCAGTAGCAATGAACTCCTGTCCCAGACTGTGCGGAGCCCACCTCCGCATCACCGCCAGCTCTACACCCGCACCCTCACCTTACTCCCCTCTCACAGACGCTTGAGGGTGGGTGGCAGCCTCCGGGACAGAGCAGAGGACTGGTAGCCGCCTTCTTGGCATCCAGTAATGCCCCGCTGCACCCGCTAACGTCCTGGCAGGCACCGCGGCCTGGAACGACCAGGGACGCCCCTGGGACACAATTCCCACCTCCCACCCCCGGTCTGGAAAAGGACAACACATCAGCCCATGCATTTAGCCGAGGTCGGGTGTGTGTCTGTGTGTGTGTGTGTGTGTGTGTGTGTGTGTGTGTGTGTGTGTGTCTGTGTGTGCGCGCGCGCGCGTGCTTTTCTCTTTTTGCACTTAAAAAAAATTTTTTTTGTTTTGTCGAGATTCTTGACTAGGGAAGAGTGTACACTCTGGGTGTTTATATTTTTGGTTTAAAATGAGTTTCCTGCTGTTAATTTGACTGAGAACTGCAAATGTATCAGCCGAAAAGGTGCAGTCACCCTCCGTGGAGCCAAGGGTGGCTTCCTCGAACTGAGGCCGAGCAAACTGGATGGAGGAGGCTTCTGCTCCCGAGAGCACGCACTTTGTGCTGCTCTCCAACTAAGCCAAGTGCTGGGGACCTGCGCTGCCATCCTCCCTTGCTAAAGGCATTCTCGCTCACATTCGTAGATTTAATGCATTTGAAAATAGTTGCTGCAAAGGAATGTAGGTGATATAAACCACTGGCTGCAAACGCTCTTTGGCCTCAGGAAAAGGATTCCTACGCAGTTTCCAGAGTAGGACGAGAGGAGAAGGAAGGAGGGGACACCCAGGACGGGGAGTACACAGACTCACATCCACAAGCTAATCCGAACACATCCATTCCTGGGGTGGGCGCAAGGTTCAACTCCAGTGCATCCCAAGGGGCGCCTGAGGGGCCTTCCAGCATGACGTCTGCTCTGTTTATCTTCCGGGAGCCCTTACTCTCAACATCCAGTCTGGTAAACAGACAAAACGTGTCAAAAATGTGGAAACCATTCGCCCAGTGCCCATCAGTAGTGCGTTCAGTTCTTAATACCCTTTGGAATCCGTTAATGTTTGAAAAAATTATTATTATTATTATTATTTATCGACTGAGGCAGAGCTGTTTGCATTTATTCAGTTTGGCTGCTTTCCGTGGCTCTTTACTCGCGAGGTTAGAACCGGCGACTTGTCCCCCTCACTCTCCCTAGCTACTACTCCCACCTCTTCTCCCTTCGACTCCAGGGTTCCCGGCGGTTCTGGAGCTTTAGATTTCTTGTCTGACAGCGCCATCTCTCGGTCAGAGTAAGCCCTGACGTCGGAGGCCAAAGTTACAGCCTGGAAGTTAAATTGTGAGTTTTTTAAGTGTGTCATCCATCTGATTCCCAGCACTGACAGAGGCGACAGGACAGAACAACCAATGAGAAGATGGCATAAACTTTCCTTGTGCCTGTTAACTAATCCCCTTTAGAAATTCTTTCCCCAGGGTTGCTGCGAAGTTCTGGTCAGAGGCAGACAGAGGAAGAGGTGCTAATTTCTGGAAGTTTAGTTTACAGCAGGGCCCTCACCTTCTAATAGAAAAGGCAAGAGTGGCTTCCTCATTGATTTGCTTGGGGTTAATTTAGCCACGCTTCCTAGCGACAGATGAGAGTGTTTCCCTTGTGTGTATGTTCTTGCTGATTTACTTTGTGGGGAGGGAAAGAGAAACCTGAGATGAATGCGCACTGTCTGCCCGGCACTTTGGGCTGCACCTGGGCTGTAGGGGAAGTGACAAAAGCCCTCACAATCCCTTTGAGATTACCATGTAAGGAGAGGAGACAGTGCTCCATCTGCACTATTTCTCAGGTGGGGAGGCAGTGACCAGCAAGAGCCAGAAACACTGCATCCGATTCCTCTCCTTTAGGACCCTGTGGGCTAGGCAAGTAAAACACATGTAAAGGTCACCTTTTATGTGCCTGTACAGTGCCAAGCTCAAAGCAACAGATACGAAGATAATTGAGGCCTTGCCCTCACATGAGCCACCTGAAGTGGCTTCACGTGGCCCACTTAAATCTCACAAGCACTTATACCTTCAAAATGGTTTAACATTAACAGTGAGGAGCAATAGACGACTACCCTCTCTGCAGTGGCAAAGCTGAGGAATCCAGACGCCAGGCCATCTCTGAGGAAGGAAGAGGGGTGCACTGCACTTCCTCTGCCTTCTTAACTGATCCTGATTCTTCAGAAAGGACTGTTTTGGTGACACCCATAGGCTTTGTGAATGCTTCACCCTGACCTCCTCACCTGTGCTGAAACAACCTCTCCTGTCAGAGTGTGATCAACTTGTGGCAGAAAACTGTAAAAGTATAACATTTACCCTACTGCACAAGGGAGCTGGCTCAGATCTTGTGTGACCTCAGACGTTGTGGTTGCATGGAAAGCTATGAAGCTTTTAAAAACATTGCATCTAAATAAAATATCTTCTTAGGATAAACTACTTAGATTTAATGAAAGGCAGTTGCTGCTAGGAGCGGAGTATTCTGTTAGTTCTGACTTCCTTGAGCAAAGTGTAAAAGACAAAAGGAAATAAATTCACATAAGAGCTAAGAAAGTAGCCCTCTGCCATTTTTTTCTTCATTTCTGTAAGATTCAATACTCTCTAAGTCATCCTTACCACCACAAGGGATTTGAAATCTATTTATTCTGGAACTATCAAGTAGCACAAGGTCCAGAATTTCTAGTCGGGCCACTGCCCTGTGTATCAACAGTCAGTATGTGTACACTGACATACACTTTCAGGTTGGTGGAAAACGTGAAAACTCTTAGGAATTCATTTTTCAAGATGTGGTCTTGGCCTTCAGACTTAGTACGTAGTAGACTGAAATGCGGTAATGATGAAATCATAGTCATAGAAACTATGAATAAGGGTTTCGTTGTTCTCAGTTGGAGCTCCTGTGTCAAATGAGGTGTAACCAGACCAAGGCTCCACTTGACAATGTATTTTCACACACTAACTAATTAATTCAGCTACCTTTATTGAGCACCGGCATCCAGGTATCCAAGGCAGACTGTGTAACCCTAAATCCAGTGTGGAGTGCACCCTCTGGTGGGGAAAGGATGCACATTGTCTGGTCAGACTTGTTAAATCATTTTTTCCTTGAGCATTCACTCAGCAAATGCTGTTTCTCTCGGCATGATGTTCCCTAAAAAAAGGTGGGAAGGTTTTTTAAGGCAAATTAGAAGACTGCCTGCCCATAGAAATTTAAATGTAGTAACAGTGACCAGAAGTAAACATAAGCAAAAGTCAAATTATTTAAAAGTGTAGAGATGGTGTGACCAACTTGAAAAATAACACGGGAAATAGATGGTGCGGAGAAACCGTGTGAATGACCACACAGGAAGCAGGCAGCTCAGTGCGACATTCAGAACATTTCATGGGGGAAACTTT